CCTCATGTCGTGCGAGCTGGCTAGTGCAGATTTATTCATTAGTGATATGCACATACTAAGGTGTTTGTCCCGGTATCATTTATAATAATGAAAGCTTGGGATAATCCAAATAATCTATGATTGGAAATTAAATAAAAATAAAAAAATAAATTAAATTAAAAATTAAATAAATAAATTATAATAGAACCATAAAATAGAATACCGTAATCATTAAAAATGACAGTATTCAAAATCAGTATACGGCCACAAGAGTCAGAGGTATGAAAATGTACTCTTTTCTTTTTTCTGCCATATCTTCATTTCTACCTTGAGCCCCCTTTCTGTGTAATGTGGAAAGCTGGATGTGGTTGCCCAGCTAGTTTGACCTCATCGACTCAGTAGCTTCCATCACTATGGGCTTAAGTGTATTCTCAAGATCGAACCCTCATTTTCTCCCAGGGGTGGCTGAAGGGGTGGCCAGAAAGCACTGGAGCTTCTGGAGGGCTGCTGTAGTGTTCCTGGGTCTCATTGTCTGGCCCACACAGTGGTCTCTCTCTGTCTCGTCTTGTGCACCTAGCCCCCCTCAACTCTGCTTTTGCACCCCATATGAAGCTTCTGGGAAGATTTTGGATGGAAGCATGAGCTCCTCTGGGGTCCTCAGAGATTGGTAGGGCAACAGCCTGGGCTGGAGTGGGGGGCTCTGTCAGCAGAAGATTCCCTCTATTTTTTTTTTTTTTAAGATTTTATTTATTTATTTGACAGAGACAGACACAGTGAGAGCAGGAACGTAAGCAGGGGGAGTGGGAGAGGGAGAAGCAGGCTTCCCGCAGAGCAGGGAGCCCGATGCGGGGCTCGATCCCAGGACCCTGGGATCATGACCCGAGCCAAAGGCAGACGCCTAACGACTGAGCCACCCAGGTGCCCCAGAAGATTCCCTCTATTGCTGGGGTTGTGTTACTGGGGTTCCCTGATGATAGCCTGCAGTGGGGTGCAGTTCTCATTCCTCTTTCTGGGAGGCTGGTGGGAAGTTGGTGCTGGGCCCACCTTACTCAGATTGTATCTGCATGTGAGCTCTCTCAACTTCTCCATTGCTCCCTACCCATAGCCCAGTGGGTGTGGGAGTGAGGAGAAGCAGGCTATAATTCATACTATCTTTGTCAGGGCTTGCCTTTTCGAGTTCCAAAATCCTCTGCTTACATGAAGACTTTATTGCCCCAACTGGGGCACTTTTGAGAGTGAAGGGGATGCTGTTACTATCAAGCTGGGACAACAGGATTAAGTTGGAGAGTCTCAGGCACACTAGGACACATGGTCATTCTGGTCTAGCCTCTTACCCATCTAGCAAGGTGGAAGGTGGTGTTGGAGAGGTGGGGCAGAAAACTCAGGAGTTCCTGGATAAGTATCTCATCACAGCTGTCTTGGTAAAGTCATCCATCCATCCATCCATTCATCCAAGAAGTATTTGTCAAGGGCTACAATGAGCTGGTGCTGAATGAGCCCTCCGTGCTCCATCAGACGTATGCAATTTCCAAGCTTATAAAGGAGGAAACAAATATAAGGGAAAAGACAAAAGAAACCAAGAATGGCAGGAATGAGAAGGAGATGTTCCTTTAAGGGTAGACAGGGCAGCTTGACTGGGAGGGGCCCGGTGACCACAGGGCTAGGAATCAGCCCACCCCTTACTCATTGTAAGATCCTGAACAAGTTCCTTGGTTTCTGTGAGCCTCAGTTTTCACCTGTCAAATGGGGATAGTGCCCACATCACAGGTTTGATGTCAACACTAAGTGGAATTGTTGTGTAAGGCTTAGTCCAGACCACCTCGTGGCCACGGTTAGGCCACTGGCTGCAACATTTGCCCTGGATTTGTGAAGTGACCTAGTTGCCACTTTCTTATTTTTGTTCCTTTCCCTGAAGGAATGTGATAGATTAAGATCAAGGAATCTAGGGGCACCTAGGTGGCTCAGTCGTTAAGCGTCTGCCTTCAGCTCAGGGCATGATCCCGGGGTCCTGGGATGGAGCCCCCGTGTCAGGCTCCCTGCTCAGGGGGAGTCTCCTTCTCCCTTTCCCTCTGCCCCTCCCCCAGTTTGTGCTCGTGAGTGCATGCACACACACTCTCTCTCAAATAAATAAATAAAATCTTAAAAATAAATAAAAAGAAAAGAAATGTAGTGTCAGTCCACCTGAGTCTGACCCCCCAGCTCTGTAATTTGCTGGCAGTCGGATGTTTGGCAGATTAATGTCTCTAAGCCCCAGTTTCCTTGTATGCAAAATGCAGAAAATAATTCCTCCCCAGTTCTGGAATCCGAAGAGCTCCGTGAGTGGAGAGGTTTTTCCTCAGTTTTGCATGGACTCATTTGGAGTAAAACTAGATCTGAGCTGATCCGATGATGTTTACAGTCATTATTTCTCCAGCCAGGGGTGAATATCTGCACTGTTAACTGCAGAAATACTCTGGTGTTTGCTTCTAGGATCCCATCCCTGACTCTGCCGGGTGTTCATAATAGAGGCACTGCATTACTTTTATAAAATCCAAACAAAATTCGGAATTCTGCAGACACCTGCCCCCAGGTGTCATCTAAGTTACCAGGATCTCGTCATAGCACTTCCCTCACAGGTGTGTCCTGAGGATGGAGGGCGAGCGGGTGCCGAGAGCCCTTCCCACGTGGGAGCTCCAGGCAGCTGCTGTTTATGCAGATGGCAACCCCAGCCAAGGCTTCTGAGCGGGTCCGCGCGGCTCTCACCCTGTAGAAAGCACTTTTTATCATCCTGGCACCAAGCAAAAGTGCAGAACCAGGAACAGCTAACGTGAATACAGCCGCTTGCTATGTGCCGGGCACCGTCCCAGGCGTTTTACAGCACATTGCTTCTTTTTATTTTTACCACCCTCTTTGTTGTTACCCTATTACTCCATCACCAGTATTACCTCCATTCTACAGATGACGAAACTGAGGCACAGGGGGTTAAGTAAATTGCCCAAGACCAGAGATTAGTAAGAGAGACAGAAGGCAAACATTAGCTACTCTTATTCTTTCCTCTTCTTTTTCTTTTTTTATTAAAAAAAAAGGAAAGAGCTTTTTTGAGGTATAATAGACATATTACATTAGTTCCTGGTATATAACATAACGATTCATTATTTGTATCTATTCTGAAATGATCACCACAATAAGTTTACTTAACATCCACCACTACACGTAGTTACAGGTTTTTTTCCTTGTAATGAGACCTTCGAAGATCTATTCTCTTAGCGACCTTTTTTTTTTTCCTAAGATTTTATTTATTTCTTTGAGAGAAAGAGAGCACAAGTGGGGGAGGAAGGGTAGAGAGGGGAGAAGCAGGCTCCTCGCTGGGCAGGGAGCTCCATCCCAGGACCCTGAGATCGGGACTGGAGCCAAAGGCAGACACTTAACCGACGGAGCACCCCAGGCGTCCCCTCTTAGCAACTTTCAAATTTATGATCCAGTTTTATAAACTATAGTCACCATGTTGTACATGATGTGCTCTGGACTTATTTCTTTTATAACTGGGATTTTGTAGCTTTTGACCCCCTTCTCTTTTTTTCCTTTCTTTGCTCTCATTATAAGCTCTGTAAATACAAAGGCACGGAAGGAAAGGAGATCTACCTTCATTGAATACTTGCCGCAAGCTAAATACTTTCAAGTTGTATCTCATTTCAGCCGTAAAACGAATCTGGGGGGGATGCACTGTTGTTCTCATCTGTGCGGAAGGAGCACGGGGCGCTTCACTGACTCTCAATCTCGTGGTTACTCGCAGGGTAACCTCCATCCCTGCTGAGGCCCAGCTCTCCGGAGGAAGCGGGGGCTGGGCAGCTCAAGGCTAAGCAGTTCAGGCCAGAAGGGCCAAATCTCTCCATTAGCGAGATTTGCTGGTTTCAAGGAACTATTATCTGGTCCCAAAGTGTAGGCGTAACTCTCCTTGACCCACCGCTCTGGCAGCTTGATTGATCTTTTCCATATCCCTGACCTCGATGTTGACACCATTTGCTCAGCCCTGACCAAAGTTCTTAACTGGCTTTTTGAAATTACACTGGCATCAGGGTCCCGCAATTTTGATGCGGCAGGGCCCAAGGCCCTGAATATGCTCCTGAGAACCCAGTGCCAAACCGGTGTCCCCAAGCGGGCCTGGGTGACCCGAGAGCGGCCAGCCTCCTCTGCTCTCCTTCACCTCGCATTTTCTCTTGATGGGTACCTAATTCCCTCTCCTTTCCTCGTCCTTTGGAAAAGGATCCCAACTCACTTCTATTTTATTTTTTTATTTTATTTTTTTTTATTTATTTGAGAGAGAATGAGAGACAGAGAGCACGAGAGGGAAGAGGGTCAGAGGGAGAAGCAGACCCCCCGCTGAGCAGGGAGCCCGATGTGGGACTCGATCCAGGGACTCCAGGATCATGACCTGAGCCGAAGGCAGTCGCTTAACCAACTGAGCCACCCAGGCGCCCCCAACTCACTTCTAAAGCATGTCCCATGTTTTTTCTTTCTTCTGTCTTAAAGTCCTCCTGCGCTGCTTCCCACCTGTCGTCAACTTTCATATACCCATAAACCTTCTCTAGAGGTGATCAGCTGCCCGCCATGTCCTTCCCCCCAAGCTCCTCTCTCTCTCCTCCACACTAATGAAATCCTTAAAAGAGAATCTTGATCTTCTATTCATTCACTCGTCACCTGAATTTAGAATTGGGCCGCTATCCCTCATCCTGCACTTTCAAAGGGATATATATATGGAGGGACCACCTACCTACTTGCCTCTCTCTCCTCATGCTCCCTGCATCCCTGTAGGAACTTGAGGGTGTGGACCTCCCCCCCCCGCAGTTCTTCCTTTTCTGGATTGGGCTCTATGCTTCCCTTAACTTCTTTCATGCACCTGTTCATTTCCCTTTGCTCAATCTTCTTAGACTCCTAGCTGCTTAAATGCAGGTGGCTCCTGCAAACAGGCTCCCGATTCTGCTCAATTGATCCCCCCTTTTTATGATCTCATCCAATTTGATGATTTTGACTATTGCTTCTAGGTGTTTGACTTCCAAACTGTGGTCTGGCCTGGCTTCCTTCAGGAGATGGGAACTTGTTTGTCATCTGCCAGGAGGGTGCACACATGGGTGCCCCGCTCCAGGTGCCGACGCCCTGTTGGGTCCTCGCAGAACCTCCTCCACCTGGTCACCTGTCGCTGCCCGCCCTGCAGTCCCTCGGTGGCTCAGACTTCAAATGTGAGAGTCTGTGTCAACTTCCCCTAGGTGTTTGTCAAACGATGGAAATTCTATTCCTGGAATTTCTTAAACCTTTTTAACCCTCTTTCCCCTCTCCGAGTGTAGGCTTTTGATATATTCTCTCTTAACTATTGCGATGGCTCCTTAGCAGATCTCTGAGGTCTGTCTTTGGCCCACAAGTCTGTCGTTGAGATGCTGAATCGCCTAAAGTACAGATCAGATTATGGCATCTCCTCAAAACTTTCTGTGACGCAACTGCAAATGCAATGAAATTCCGAGTCTAAGACATGTGCTGAAATATCCCTCTCATTTGGACCTGGCCTCTGTCTCTCCCCAGCATAGGCTGGGGCCCGCCCCCTCCCGCCTCACCACATGGTTGCACCGTGGCTCTCCTCCGCCCTGGAAGGCCATCCCTATCTGCTCCTCTCTCCTGGCTTCTAGGAGCTTTCTCATGTCTTCCCCGGGGGAGTAACAGCCCTTCTTCTAATCTCTGTAGAGTTTGGGGTAGCAGGTTAGCCCGTAAGTTAAAGTCAAACAATGTTTACCCTAGGTAGTACATTTTTCACTCAATACGATGAGTCTAGAATTAAATTGTCATTTTAATGCTCTATACTCAGTTAATTAGGTATTACCTCAGAAGATCAAGAAAGAAGAGAAACTCAATGGAATACTACGCAGCCATCAAAAAATTGAAATCTTGCCATTTGCAACGATGTGGACGGAGCTAGAGGGTATTATGCTGAGCGAAAGAAGTCAATCAGAGAAAGACATGTATCATATGATCTCACTCATATGTGGAATTTAAGAAACAAAACAGAGGATCATAGGGGAAGGGAAGGAAAAATAAAATAAGAGACTTATTTTATTTATTATTAAGAGACTCTTAACTCTAGGGAACAAACTGAGGGTTGGTGGAGGGGAGGAGGGTGGGGGGATGGGGTAACTGGGTGATGGTCATTAAGGAAGGCACGTGGTGTAATTAGCACTGGGTGTTATACGCAACTGATGAATCACTGAACTCTACCTCTGAAACCAATGATACACTATATGTTAATTAATTGAATTTAAATAAGATTTTTAAAAATTAAAAAAAAAAGAAAGAAGAGAAACTCACAGGCAAGTTTTCCTTGAGTGTTTGGTACATTGCACACCAGGCCAAAGACTGGAGAGGCCAAGGAAATCTCTCTTATCTTTAAGAAGCTTACACATGGATTAAGCAGGATTTATGGATTTGTGCCATGTGACATCATTTCAGTCAATGTATGGTGTTGACAGGAAAGGCTGGGTGGCCAGGATGAAGTGTGGGGGTGTGACATTTTAATTCTTTTTTGGTTTAAACACTTACTTTCCGGGTTTTGATTTTGTACCTGGTATGGATGGTTTGGAAAAGTCTTGCAGGAATAGTTTCTTTTACCACTCTCCTGTTTCTTTATTCAGAGGTCAAGGTAGGGGTGGTGGTCTGCCAGATCCTAATAAAGATAATGTTAGCAAAAAATTTTTTTAAGTTAACTTTTTTCATGTAAACCTTCTTCAATGGCTTCTTATTATACATGCTGTAATCCATTCATGCCTTTATCCATCCAGTCACTAAGTGGTCATGGAATGCCACACTCACTTATGGTGAGGATGAGCTTGGGTCCTTCCCAGGAAGGTCAGTGTTGTGACCCTGAGCATCAAAGCCACAATTCACGTGCCAAGAGATGTTCAATGGGAACTGTTGCTTTGCTCTGCCTCACTGTGGGTGCTATTTATCCAGCTACACTCTGGAGTCTGCTAACCTGGTTGTCTTTAGCAGGTGGGTATTGGGAGAGTCAAGGAACCAAGGGCAAAGAGCAAAGTCCTTGCACTAGGAGTGAGGAGCTGGGTCATGTGCATTTTTAAAATTTCTGTAGCAACCTATAGATATTAAAACCATCAAACTGACAACTCACCTGAATCTTACCAAAGCATCTCCAAACAGACTTTTCTAGTAAATATTCACACAGGAGAGCTTTAAATGTTATACCAGGAGTCTTTCCAATGACAAAAATGTTGATTAAATATTAGGACAAAGGGACTGAGTAAAGTCAATAGTCTACTCTTTCTTGAGCAAAACATAGATATCACTGTGCCTAGAGCTGATGAGGAATGAATGAGGTACAAGGGCGTGAGATCCCTACCTTAGATAAAATACTGATTGTTCATGACAAATCCTCCATGTGACAGTCATTTGGAGGTAGAAAAGAAAAGCATTCACTTGGAATTTAAAAGAAAAAAAAGTTCTTTCCCATTAAAAATGTCCATTCTTGACTTTTTGGGTAATCTAGAAAAATAGAAGGAATCATAAGCGATTTATCAATCCACCTTGCCACTCAAAGTGCTTAGAATGTTTATTTAAAAAAGATTTTATTTTTTTATGTAATCTCTACACCCAGTGTGGGACTTGAACCCTGAGATCAAGAGTCACATACTCCACCGACTGAGTCAGCCAGGTGCCCCCAAAGCACTTAGGATGTTTTAGGAGTTTTGCTAGTGTTTGTTATTATGACACTGACAAACTAGGTAAAAAATAATTTTATAACAGATGTTCAAATGGGATTTATGGCTGTATTTATTTTACGTGAGCCCACAGCAACATCTTTCAGATTTGGGGGATGTTCTAAAGGAAAGAAGGATCTGGTGGGTGAACCTAGTAAAACCCAAGGGAAACTGACTCTAACTCTGTGTAATGACTTGCCCAACTGATTGTTTTCTGATCTCTTTAGCAAAAAATACTTAAATAGCAGTCACATCAATGACAAAAAAATAGGATGGAAATATGAAATGTAGATAACTTTACACTCAGAGCAATCAGTGCTGAAATGAAGGCTTCTATGAAGATAAGCATTCTTATATTTTAGTGGTGAGCACACAACCATGCTCTGTTGATCTGATTACAAAATAATTCTCGGGTCGCCTGGGTGGTTCAGTCGGTTCAGCGTCTGCCTTTGGCTCAGGTCATTATCTCAGGGTCCTGGGATCGAGCCCCACGTCGGGCTCCCTGCTCCGCGGGAGGCCTGCTTCTCCCTCTCCCTCTGCCTGCTGCTCCCCCTGCTTGTGCTCTCTTTCTCTGTCAAATAAAGAAATAAAATCTTAAAAAAAATAATTCTTAATGAAGAGTGACTCTGTGATGACTGCTTCTCTTTTGAAGCAATATTCTCTATCAGTTAACACGTACGCGATTAGAACCACATAAAACTGTAGTTGAATCCTCCAGTTAAATCCCTGCAGAGGTGCCTGTTCTCCAGGAGCTGACATGTCAGTGCAGCATGAGACCCCTGCATGAGGGGCACCATCCTCACCACCCATCGAGGCCCTCGTCCAGTCTCTGTCCCTCCTCTTTACTTATGTAAAGTCTTACGAATACAGAACATCTCAAAGATTAATGCAGCAAACCCATGTATTAACAAATATTAACATTTCATTTCTAAGCATTGGTGATATACATGCACACACATATTTAATTAAGCAAAATGAAATTGAATTTAACTGACAAAGCTGAAGTCCCTTTTAATCTTCTTTCCAGACCCATTTCCCTTCTCCCTTCACCTGCTCAAAGCAATTAGTATAGTGAGTGTTGTGGATAGCCTTTGAGCCAAGTTTTCTCTTTATTTTGTATATTTACACATATAAATACATATATATGCATATGTCTGTATATGTAATAAATGGTATTGCTTACATTTCGGAATAGAAACCCCATTTTTTGGCATGTGTTTTCCTCATTACAATAAAAACCCTAAGGAGGTATCCACAGGGTCTCTTCACCTCTTTATCCCTGGTGTGTAACCTCATTTGTATCCTGTGTAAATACTCAACAAAAGTTGTTGAACTGAATAATATCTGCCAGTATATTACGAAATATTATGAAGTGGTATTAATTGGTGTTTTTACTATGGTGGATGCACACACATACACATACACATACCCACACACGCATCTATGCATGCACTTGGATCCCCAGAAGAGTTCAAATAGCATTTCTCTGGCCATGGAGCTCCTTCTTCTATAGGGGGCTTCCGTATCTCTTCAGTGTGCTCCCCCCTTCGCATGCCTATCTACTTTTCCCCTCCCCTGTCCTGCTCTGGCCCCCTCTGGCCATCCGAGCCCATCCCCTGAGGCCCTTGGGAGTCTGCCAAGACTGCCTCCGACCACCGTTGCTACCAAAGGCACCGTGGCAATGCCATCCAGCAGATTTCTTTCTGAGCGCCCACTCTCTGGAGCTCTAGATGTTCAGAAAAGTCAGTGTGTAACCCACCGGAAGAGGGAAACTCCATCTCCCTACTCCCTTCTGTTGATTCCTCAGTTAAGCTGCTTTGTGCAGGGTCCCCTTCCAGCTGTACAGGATGCCCGGGAGGGGTCTCTCTTCCTGCCTCGCTTCTCCAGAATGCCGGTTCTTTCTTGCAAAAACAGTCACGAAGTCAGAGCAGACCAATGCTCTTAGCTCCATCCTGGCAGGGTGCCAGGGTTTCAGACTCTACAAACAAAACTTTCTTCTGCTCAAACCTATGCTCTCTTGTCAGACACTGCTGACGCCGTGCTCCATGCACAGCCTGTTAGCACTCACCTCTCTTCCCAAATAACCACTTACTACAAACCCCTGCATTTCTCTCAGGTGGCTGCAGGGACAGGTAGAGCTCGTGCACAGGGCAAGCAGAAGTGCCTGACTTAATGTCCCTGGAAAGAGCGTTCAAAAGGAAAGAAGGAAGGATCACTTGAGGTATGCTCTGTACTCTCCCCCAGCCCCCAGGGGGAGCCACCCTTAATGCTCATGGTGAAGCTGGCTTGATTCCCTCCCCACCACCCCACCAATGTCTCCAGAGATCACCTCCCAAATAAACTACCTGCCCTCAAATGCTTGTCTTAGATCTGCTTCTCATAGTTTAGTTAAAATGCATTCTTATCTATTCAGTGGTCAAAAAGAACCGTTGACACAAAAATCAGCATGGGGGATCTTAAACGTGTATTGCTAAGTGAAAGGAGTTAATCCAAGAAGGCTATATATAATAGGATCCCATTTATATGACATTCTGGAAAAGGCAAGACTATAGAGACAAAGCAGTGGCTGCCAGGAATTTGCAGGAGGGTGGGAGTTGACTAGGTGAAGCACAGGACATTTTTTTAGAGCTGTGAAACTATTCTGTATGGTACTGTAGGGATGAATAATAATACTACCCTTTTGTCAAACCTATAGGACTCCATGGCACAGAGTGAAACTTAATGTATGCAAACTTGAAAAAAAATGACCCAGAGGGCAGGGGATCCCAGAATGGAATGCAGAATGTGACAAATGAATATACCTATTACAAATGTATGGTATAATTTCACTAAGTGGCGTGGCGGGGGGCGGGGGGGGGGAACAGAGAGGCTGACCTAAATAACTTTGGAAATGACTAGAAATGATAAGCCTAAAGACAAAAAGAACTGTACATAAGCATTGGGCTCTAGGTGTTGAAGTCGTTAACCATGGAGGGACAGGTTAATTATTCTGAAACCATTCTACACATATATTGGGATTGAATAAACTAGTAAATGAATGGCAGCCAGTGGGAACCAAATTGCTTTTGGAATAGAAGGTTATAGACAAGCTTGGGGGAAATGCTACAATGAACCACGTGTTAATGAATTAAAGTCAAGGACTGAATTAAAGTCAACTCTCATATTTAGCTTAATATGGATACTGACATAGAAATAACTATACATGTGTGTGTAGGCACAGGTTAGCTACATCTATATGTAGTTCCTAGTTATGCTCACTTAGTCTAAAGGCAAAGCCACCCAGTATCAATGAGCACACCTGGCTCAGATCTTGTTTTTCTAAATACCATTTTCCAATAAAAGGAAGCAGGGCTCATTACAGAAATGGGTGATTCTAGGGATATGGCAGTGAATCTACAGACTGAGCCTGGAGCATCTTGTAGTGCCCAAAAGTAAGGAAGTGCTCAACAGACAAAACCACAGGTGTGTATACAACAAAAGGACACAGGAACCATCTGAGAGTTCTCAATGGCCAAAGCTGGAACAATTTGAGCAACAAATAAATTTCATAGTACTGGATTATAATCCAAGGCATAAAATATTTCCAATATTTCCAGGGGCACCTGGGTGGCTCAGTGGGTTAAGCATCCGACTCTTGATTTTGGCTCAGGTCAAGATCTCAGGGCCGTGAGGTCGAGCCCTGTGGCAGGCTCTGCAGTGGGTGTGTAGCCTGCTTAAAATTCTCCCCACCCCCTGCCCCCTCTCAAAAAAATAAAATAAAAAATAAAATAAAATAAATGTCCATGAGTCCACACTAATGTAAATAAATGATTGAATAAATAAATGTATGGAGGATGGGAGAGACAGATCTCTCAAACAGAAAAATTCCCAATAGTTTATGTAGATACTCCTCCCTCAAGGAGATGGGGCATAATCCCCACCCCTTGAGTATGGGCTTTACACAGTGACTTCCTTCCAAAGAGTACATTAAGGAAAGTGGAGAGAGAGTAATTTTATAGCAGAGGAACCTGACAATCACTACCTTGCCAGGCGATCAAGGTCAATATCATCAGTGATAAGTCATGCTGATAACACTTTGAAATATTATCCCTTGATATGCTTAATTAATAATAAAGTGATTAAAATGGTACTTTACCAGGGCCCCTGGGTGGCTCAGTTGGTTAAGCGGCTGCCTTCGGCTCAGGTCATGATCCCAGGGTCCCGGGATCAAGCCCCACATCGGGCTCCCTGCTCGGCAGAGAGCCTGCTTCTCCCTCTCCCTCTGTCTGCCGCTCTGCCTATTTATGCTCTCTCTCTCTGTTAAATAAATAAAAATCTTTTAAAAAAATAAAATGGTATTTTACCTCTGTGGTCTTCCTCCCCCAAACACATAACCCTGGTCTGAGAAAAACACCAGACAAACCCCCAATTGAGGGACATTGTCCAAAATACCTGACCAGTACTCCCCCAAATCGTCCAAGGTCATGAAAAAAAAGAAAGTCTGAGAAACTGTCATAGTCCAGAGGAGCCCAAGGAGACATGACAACTAAATGCAATGTGGGATCCTGGAACAGAGAAAAAGACACAGGGGAAAGTCAATGAAATCTGAATCAAGTATAGCCTTTAGTTAAAATAACATATCAGTATTTGTTTTTAGTTGTGACAAAGGTAATGTAAGATGTTAATAAGGGAAACTTGATGTGGGGTATATGAGAACTCTCTGCACGACCTTTGAATGTTTCTTGTAGATATAAATCTATTCTAAAATTAAAAATTTACATAAAACTGCATTTTCATGCTGCAACACCGTCTTCCCTCCTAGAATAAAAATTAGAAGGTATACAAGAGGTAAAGACGCAGAGAACTGGGACATCTGGGTGGTTCAGTCGGTTGAGCGTCTGCCTTTTGCTCAGGTCATGATCCCAGGGTCCTGGGATCAAGCCCCACATAGGGTTCCCTCCTCAGTGGGGAGCCTGCTTCTCCTCTTCCTTCCTGTTCATGCTCTGTTGCTGTCTCTGTCACTATCTCTGTCTGTCTGTCTCTCTCAAATAAATAAAATCTTTGAAAAAAAAAAAAGACACAGAGAACCCTCTCCTGCTTCAGTTTTTACTGTGATTAGTAAAGAGAACTTGTGATTAATAGAGAGATTCTTTTACTTCCAAATCTCACATTGGAAATATGATTTCTAGCAGAGTTCTTACAAAATAACACAAAATGTCCTATTTTGTATCTTAGACTGTTGTAGTGTTGATTCATACTAAATTTCCCCACTTCCTGTCACCTGTCCATTATGATAAATAACCAAAAAAGTCTGAATCTTTATAGGGAAAATGTTTTTATTAGTCTAGAGTAAATCGGTGGTTACTTTGATACATGCAGTATATAAAAAAATTAAGGCTCTGGGGCACTTGGGTGGCTCAGTTGGTTAGGTGTCTAACTCTTGATTTCAGCTCAGGTCATGGTCTTAGGGTTGTGAGATTGAGCCCTGCATCAGGCTCCGCTGGGTGTGGAGCCTGCTTAAGACTCTCTCCTTTTCCCTTTGCACTTCACTACACTCTCTAAAAAAAAAAAAAAAAAAAAAAAAAAAAAGGAAGGAAGAAAGAAAACTTAAAGCTCTAAGTGTCTATCCGTGATCTTTTTTACTATCTCTCTGAGATGGCTAATTTTTCAGTAAGTTAGCCAAAGGAATGACTTATAGACTGACTTCACTTTAAATTATTGGGATTCTCATTGGGAATTAAATCTGGAAAGTTTTACCACTATTATTATTATTATTTTTTAAAGATTTTATTTATTTATTTGACAGAGAGAGACACAGTGAGAGAGGGAACACAAGCAGGGGGAGTGGGAGAGGGAGAAGCAGGCTCCCCGCAGAGCAAGGAGCCCGATGCAGGGCTCGATCCCAGGACCCTGGGATCATGACCTGAGCCGAAGGCAGACGCTTAATGACTGAGCCACCCAGGTGCCCTACCACATTATTTTTATGGGTTTTATTATTATTATCATATGGGGCTGTGGAGGAGGCAGCCTTAGAAGCTAGGAAGTTTATAAACAAATATACCATGAGAAGTGAAAATCATAGAAGACAAAATTGATGGATTTAACTACACAAAAATGGAAGCATTTGTATGTTGCTCCAAAAATATCATGAACAAAATTAAAAGACAAACTGAGAAAGACTATGATAATAACTGGCAAAATGTTAAGGGAATGAATGTATATGGAGCTGCCTCCCCTTTAAGAACTATCAAGCAAGTGATACCACAGTTTGCAAAAGAAGAAATATAAATTGATGAAAAAATGTACCCAAATTCAACTTAATAAGGAAATGCAAATTAAGATACTAATGACATAACTTTCTTTGTCCATCAAATTGTACTTTCATACCTTGCTGATATTACAGATTGGAAGAGAAGTCTTTAAAATGTCTACCAATTGATCTAGGGATTCCATTTCTAGAATTTTATTCTAAGAAAATAATTAAGGGGCGCCTGGGTGGCTCAGTTGGTTGGGCGACTGCCTTCGGCTCAGGTCATGATCCTGGAGTCCCGGGATCGAGTCCCGCATCGGGCTCCCTGCTCGGCGGGGAGTCTGCTTCTCCCTCTGACCCTCCCCCCTCTCATGCTCTCTCTATCTCATTCTCTCTCTCAAATAAATAAATAAAATCTTAAAAAAAAAAAAAGAAAATAATTAAGAATATGCAAAGGCGTTAATCCATAAATGTTTATTTTTATATTGCTTATTTATAACAGCAAATAATAACAACCTTTATGTCCATCGATAGGAAATTGTTTAAATAAATTGTAGTTTGTCCATTCAAAGGAACATTAATCAGTCATTAAAAATGATTATGTAAGTCAGGGATCAGCCATTTGTGTTCATTGGCCAGTTGCCTGGTTTTGTAAATAAAGTTTTATTAGGACACAGCCATGCCCATTTGTATGGCTGCGTATTAGTTTGCTAGGGCCGTCATACCACTGACTGGGTGGCTTAAACCACAGAAATGTATTGTCTCACTGTTCTGGAGGTTAATAATCCAAAATCAAGGTGTCCAAAGGGTATGTTTTTTTCTGAACATTGTGAGGAAAAGATCTGTTCCAGGCCTCTCTCCTTGCTTTGTAAATGGCCATCATCTGTGTCTTCGTCGGGTCTTACCTCCATGTGTGTCTGTGCCCAAATGCCCCCTTTCCCTAAGAATGCCAGTCATATTTGATTAGGAGCCCACCCTACTCCAGGATGACCTCATCTTAACTGATTCATCTGCAATGACCCTGTTTCCAGAAAAGGTCACATTTGGAGGTACTGGGGGCTAAGACTGCAGCATATGAATCTTGGGAAGGCGCCATTCATTCTGCGACAGCTGCTTGCATGCGACAGAGGCGGAGTTGAGTGGCTGTGACTGAGACCATGCAGTCTGCAAAATCTAAAGTCGTCACTTTTCAGGAAAAGTTTGCTGACACCTGCTACAGGTTTTGATGGGGAGAAGATTCAAAAATATATTCTTAAATGAAAAGGATTACAATAGTACCTTTTGGAAAATTATCTCATTTGAAAATATCTATGTGCAAATAATGAGAAAGGCAAAGAATATACATCACAATATTGTTAGTGGTGATCCTTGAAGATCGGCACTTTGAGTAATTCTTATTTTCTTTTAACTTGTGTTTCCTAATGTTTCTATTATAAACATGTATTATTTTTGCAATTATAAAACCAAAAAATTTACACCAGCATAATGTATAAAAGCTAGACTGCCACGTTGTCTTTGTAAGCATGGGGTAGAAATGAATTTCCACACAGTATTTATTCCAAATTCTAGTGTGCTTCCCTATACTGTGGAGGCTGGAAATCCGAAAACCACATTTTTTGGACTCCCCTGGGGTTCTGGGTGCAAAATAGATTCTGCCAGTAGACGGACCTGCTTGGGAAGAAAGCCATCATCTTGCAGCTTTGCCCCTCTCTGCCGGGGGCGTTCAGCTCTAGCTCTGAGCTAAGAGGGGGTTGGGCAGTGGCTGTCTCCCCCTTAGATTGCAGCTAGAGCGAAATTTCTTGGAGTCAACAACGGTCTGATTCCCTGCCTTCCTGATATCATGGAGGCCGCTACCCCCTGGCAGGCCAGTTCTGCAGTGCTGCTCATTTTTCTAGAAATTATTCTAGGACACATAGCTGAGAGGCAGGCTTTCCAGCTATTTTATAATTAGATAAATCTTCCTGTGCCTAAAATAGCTGATTTATTGTTTCCATGACAGAACCACAACTGACATAAGGGTTCATGAGCAATTTGGGGACCAGCTTGTGCTAAAGGAAATTTTCTCCTGAAAGTACATTTTTTTGACAAGATGAATGAAAATTATTCAGAGGCATCGATATTTCAAGTTGCTTGGACTCCATCTGAATTGCAGAATGAAGAGTAGAAATAATTGGAACCATTCTGCCAAATCTAAAACACAGCTCAGATCCCCCAAGTATAAATGCAACAGGGTCACAGATCTCCTCACTTTTATGAAGATATGCAAATAGAATGTGGCCTTAAACTTTTTCTACAGGGGATCTACTTTCTCCATGAGCCTTATCTCTAGGGGATTTGAAGAGGAATGGTGAGGGGCAGGATCCAATCTGCCTGTTTGTGAAATTTCAGCCTGATGAACAATTTTTCATTCTGGTAGCAGCTCAGTCTTTCTGATTCCTCCCATTTCTCCATAGTATCTGGGTGCACAGGGTCGTGTGGTCTGGTTGTGGCCCATCCCTCTGCCTCTGGTTTCCCATATGAAGAGGCTAGTCTGGCCTGGTCCCTAAACTGAGGACTGCTGAGGACCACTGGTCCCATCTTGGGGGTGGGCCACCATGTTCTTACCCACTGGTCGAGCCTATGACTCCAGTCCTTGCCTCTGGTCACAAATCCCCCTTCACAGTAGCTTCTTTCTTCTTCCTTGAGTTCCCCGTAGGTCTGCTGGTCTTCCCAGGACACTCCCAGCCCCATTGTAGGATATCCAGATCCCTGGCATGCGCACAGCAGGCTATGGGGCCAGGAGCCTGCCCCAGGCCCAAGAACCCAGTCATGCCCTCTGCCAGGGGCCCACGCTGCCATGTTGATATGGAGTCAATGAGGATGTGGGCTCTTCCTGGCCTCCCAAATGGAGCCCAGGCAAATACTCCTCTGCTGTCAGCTTTCCTCTGAACACATCTAACCTGGATCCATGCTGAGGTTTCATTCTTGAAGAGGGGAGGCCAGGACACATGTACCTGTTTCTCTTGGGTCCCCATCTATTTGGAATGAAGGGGTGATGTTTTCACTTCTTCTCAGTTAGGGAATTTCTCCATGTCATAATCTACTCCCTTCCAAATAGGTCAAACAGGACACCTGACAGTCAGGCAGAACTTTGTAGAGGAGGGTAACATGGCTAGGAAGAGACACTCAGATGGTTATGGTGGGTGAGTCAAAGGGGAAGCTGGGGCTGAAGAGTCCTAGAGGGAGGTTGTAGGAAAGTTGGTTTTGGGTTACCATCCTTTGGCAAACAGAACAGTTCAGGGTAGTATTTGGAGGACAGGCTTGGAACCTGCCCACCTACTAGCTTTGTGACCTTGAGCAAGTTACATAACCTGCCCAAGGCTCAACTTTCTTATTTGTAAAGTGGGGATCATAATGGCACTTACCTCAGTGGTTTGCTGTGTTACAGGACATAATGCCTGTGAACGCACAGCAGGCACTGGGCTCAGGCTGATGCACAGCTCAGCCGCCATAACCAAGGCTGTCACAAAACTTTCAAATGCTACTGTTATGAGTACCAAGAGGGAAAACCAGCTGTAAGTACTACCCACATGTAAGTTGTTACTTGTATGATGTAGGTTGGCGAGTTTGGAAGAAGTTGGAGGGTACAACCTCGTCTTCACTGTGAGGCACGCATGAAGTATGAGTGGCTATGGACAAGAAACTGGAAGTGGAAAGTGATAGAGAGGGAGTCCCAGAAGAACCGAAAATGAGTCCAGAGAAACAAGAAGAAACCAGTCAAGGTGATGCCAATGGTAAGTGGGAGGGAGGAGGGCCACCTTAGGGACCTACATGCTTAGGGAGAAGGCAGCAGGATTGAAGCAGAGAAAAGTTGTAGTTTTAAAAAAGACAACTCTATATAAAGATCAGTGTAATCACATGCTGCCTGGCCTTCTGTTGAATGTGATTATTCAGTTGATACATCATTCATAAAACTACATTTGCGGGTTCTAAGAATGACATTTGTCTTCCCCAGAGTATGTGATAAGAATTTTTTTTGTTTCTTCTTTTGCACTTTATTTATTTATTTATTTGTTTGTTCAGAAAGTGTATTATTACAGGGTCTGTCCAGCCATCTGACTCCGTTGGTACCAGAATTCTTGGACCCAGCATGTATCCAGGAGAAGGCCTTGGCCCGTGAGGTAAACAACATACAACACATGCCTGCAAAGGAGTCCAGAGGTCCACAGCCCAAGGACGTATTTCCCCCTGTATGGGCCGGTAGCATCTCCAATTCCTCAGCAAAAACCATACAGCCCAAGCAGGCTGACATCCCCAGTTTTTCAGCAAAACCCATCCTGCCCAAGCAGGCTGATACTCCAAGTTTGTCAGCAAGAACAATCCCACCCAAGCAGGCTGTCACCCCCAACTCCCCAGAAAAAATTATCCCACTCAAGCAGACTGACATCTTCAATTTCTCAGCAAAACCCCTATCACCCAAGCAGGCTGACACCTCCAGTTTTTTAACAAAAATCATCCCACCTAAGCAGGGTGATACCTCCAATTCCCCAACTAAAACCACCCCATACAAACAGACTGATATCCTCAATTCCCCAGCCAAAACCATCCTACCCAAGCAGGCTGACACCCCTAATTTTTCAGTAAGAACCATCCCCCCCAAGCAGGCTGACACACCCAATTTTTCAGCAAAAATCATCCCATCCAAGCAGGCTGACACCCTCCATTCTTTAGAAAAAATTATCCCACCCAAACAAGATGACATCTCCAATTCCTCAGAAAAAATCACCCTGCCAAAGGAAGATGGCACGTCTGCTTCTTCAGAAAAGAACATCCCATGCAAGCAGGGTGACACCAATTCCCCAGTAAAATCCATCCTGCCTAAGCAGGGCAATAGCCTCAAGTTCTTAGCAAAATCCATTCTGCCCAAAGGGGCCAACACCCCCAAGTTGTCAGCAAAATCTTTCCAGTCTAAGCAGGTCAACAGCCCCAAGGTCTTAGCAAAAACCATCCTGTCCAAGCACAGCCACACTTCCAAGTCCTCAGAGGAAAGCCTCCTGCCCAGAGAGGGTGACCTCAAGTCCTCAGAAGATACAATCCACCCCAAGGAGGGGGACATCACCAAGTCCTCAGAGGAAACCATCCAGTCCAAGAAGGGTGACATTCCCAAGTCCTCAGAAGAAGCCATCCATCCCATAGAAGGCAGTGTCCAGAAGCCATCAGAGACAATGGAACTCTTGGAGGTGGACTTGGTGAAAATGATCCTGAGCAAGGAGGACTTTGAGTTGGCACTCAAGGAGGCCGGGGAGAAGCTGGTAGCCGTGGACTTCTCAGCCACCTGGTGTGGGCCTTGCAGGACCATCAGGCCCCTTTTCCGGTCCCTGTCCTTGAAGTATGAGGATGTGGTGTTCCTGGAAGTGGATGCTGATGAGTGTGAGGAGCTGGTGAGAGACCTGGAGATCATTTGCATTCCAACCTTTCAGTTTTATAAAAAAGAAGAAAAGGTGGGAGAATTTTGTGGTGCTATTAAAGAAAAACTTGAAGCAAGCATTGCAGAATTAAAGTAATTGTGAATTCTGAAAGCACTGTTAACAGTCAGCTGGTTATAGTTTGTGATTTTTTTATTTACAAAAAGAGATGAGACATAACGAAAGTGTATGTCTGAATGACACCTGCTCATAAGTGATGAAGTGTTAACTCCACCTTTTCAAAAAGTAGTAAAAGCACGAAAGCATGTTGTGACCATGCTTTCGTGGGTAGGAAAGGGTGATATTAGAATTTCCTTTGGTGGAGATTAGGAGTCTACCTGTCTCCTATTTTTTTGATCATGATTTTTTTGGAACTCACCCTTGAAAATTCAGTTCATTTGGTGTTAGTGGCAACATTGGAAATTTAGACAATTCTTCTGTAAAAGTACATGATTTAAAGATGAGTGGAGACTTCTTTTCTCATTTGGGGTTTCTGATAAGATGCTTTGGGAAATAAAGAATTTGAAAGGTTCACATATCCTACCTAACCTCCTCTAAGTGCGGGGAGTGCTACGGAGGCCTCAGGAAATCCCATGGGCTCACCAAGCCTGCGTGGGATTCCTTGGTGGCAGAGTCAAGACCAAGGCCATGTTCCCAGATCTCAAGTGCAGCAGGCCTCTTTCTACTAATCATGCCCACAAAATCCGAGACAGACCTCCCAGCTTCTGGTTTCTCAGACCAAGAGCTTTACTATTCAGGTCAAAGTCAGGGTGATCTTCCATGCCATTATGACATCAGCTCCCTGGTGACAGAGTTCCTACTTTGTCTCCTGGTAACTGGATTTCTGAAACCCGCTCCCAGACGTCTCAGAGCCCAGAGGCCCAGGTCTGGGTCACAGATGGTGGCTTGGTCCAGAGTTTTTGTGTTTTAAAAAAATGTGTATGTGATACACACACATATAACAGCATGTATTTAATGTATACACTTTGATGAATTTGGGCATATGCATTCACCCATGACATCATTACCACAGTCAAGGTAATAAACATGCCCCTCGCCTCCAGAGTTTCCCTGTGTGTACTCTTTTTTGTTATTGTGGTGACGGTGGTGGTGGTAAGAGTGCTTAACAGGAGATCTAACCTCTTAACCACAGTTTAAATGCACAATACTATGTTGTTAATGACAGGCACTCTGTTGTATAGCAAATCTCTAGAACTTACCCATTCTGGAGAACGGAAACTTCTACCCAGTGAGCAACAACTCCTCATGTCTCCCCCTTTTCCTCGTCAGCCACCATCCTGTCTTCTGCTGGTCCAGTCTTTTAAAGAATTTGAACTAGTTGTCAACATTTCAAAAAACCAGGATTCCCTTTTAAACCTTGAATTCTAGCTTTTCTTGAAAAATTGTAAAATCTGGCAATCTGGGCTTGGGTTCCCTCAGGAAACCAATCTAATCTTAGAGGCTGAGTGGCACTGCCTCCCAACAGTGGTGAGGAACCTCTCTGGCTTCTTTTATGTGGCTGAGTTGCAATCCCTATCTAAGTTAACCGCAGGAGGGGGCTGCCCCAGCAACTCCCACTCTGTGCATTATCTCAATCATAGACCTTATCTGAGCCATGAAAAATAACCACCTAACAATAGAAACAAAATGCCATGCATACCTGGACTTTTTTCCAAAAACATTTGGAATGACTTACATAAAGTATTAATGATAAGGCTAACAAATTCATGAAAATGAATAAGATGTCAACTGAGGCTCATATAATCACTCTGTCTGAGTGGCACATTTTGTTCTGAGCTTTTTAGCAGTGTGGATGGGGTGGGGGTGAGAAAAGGCAAACTCAGTAATACCCAGATATCATTACCCCAAAGGAGAAAACACTGGAATTTGAAAAATGAGTCAATGATTTCCCATAACTAAATTCTTGAATGAAATTTTTCATCTGGGAACCTCTGGATGAGATTCTTGACAGTATTTTTTATAAGAAATTCAGAAACAATTCTCATATAGTTATTTCTGATAATAATCTCTCATAAAAGCCAAAGCTATGATCATAAACCACTTTTCAATGAGGGGATTTGGGAGTAGGGTACAAGCACATAGCTTTTATTTTCATATAAATGGACTCCTATTAATGATCCATATATCTATTCTTTTCTTCTGGTAGAGAGACCTTCCTCTGACTTTTTTCACTCAGATGTGTTCTTGTTTTCCATATTGAACAGGCTGGTTTTAATGTAACTTTATCTGCTTAGACATTTAGGAATTAACTCAACCCCTCCGCTACCAGAGCCCCTTTTGGATAACCTAGCCCTGCAACACTTTAGACTGTGTAATTTGGAGGACCAGGGACCTCCAAATCTAACATTAATGAGTTATACCAACAACTATTTCTGGAACTGTAGTATTGCAGGTTTTTTTTTTTAATCATAGGTCTGTCTTTATGTTTAGGTTACTAAGTGATGACATGGACAATGACCTAAAGAAAACCCTTGAAATAGTCGTGATAGATTTTTCAGGTGGTTTTAAACCATTCCTGATGTAAATCAAGGGAGGAAGGCAAAGCACAACTCTGCAAAGTCAACTCTGCAGGGTCAACACAGTGCAGAGCAAGTGGGGGCTCTCTGACATTCTAATTTATCCCTCCAGATGCAGGGATAAAATCTAAACTACCAGATAATCAATTCATGTCCTTCAAACTACCCACCCTAAGCACCGTTTCTCCGGACTGTTTGGATAATAGTTAAATAGTAACCAGCTCAAAGCTCTGTTCTCTGGCACAAAGCTTGAGTATGGATGTTCTGTTTTGCTAATTAAGAATCATGCACTTAAAAAAAATGAACCAAGCAATTGTCATCACCTCTACTCTTGAGCATGAAGGAGAAATAAGAAGCATTTCTAATGAGAAAGAAGATTCCAGATAATCATATTGGCTGTGCATGATGACAATCTAACTGGAGTCCTAACAAGAATCAGTGGAAACCTGTTTGCTTTGATAAGAAAACTCAACAACAGTGCCTGGGTGGCTCAGTCAGTTAAGTGTCTGACTCTTTATTTCGGCTCAGGTCATGATCTCAGGGTCATGGCATGGAGCCTGCTTAAGATTCTCTCTCTCCCTCTCTCTTTGCCCCCTTCCCCCTGCATGTGTGCTCTCTCTCTCTCTCTCAAAAAAAACCCCAAACCCAACCAAACGAAAACTCAACAAAGTGGCAGTATTCCAAGTTATCTCCAATAATTCAATAGCTTCCTTTTGATTCAATGATAAGTGACTGGGAATCATTATGGAAAAAGGCCTCATTTACAATAGTGACAAAAAGAAAAATAAAACACCTGACAATAGTCCTAACAAGAACAGTAAGGATTTTTAGGACTAACTCTAAACACTTTGAGACAATACAAGTAGATCTGAATAAAGTGAGACACAGTCCATTTTCCATATTGATAAGGAAGATTGAAAAATGTTGAGCCTTTTCACTTGAGTAGACTTATTGTGATCCCAACCAACATCTCATTGAGATCATTGGGAGAACCTGACAAAACACTTAAAAATTCAAGAATAGATAGGAAAAAGTTTTAAGAAGTAATGAAGAGAAATTTGCCCTATCAGATAGTAAAATGTGTAAGTAGTACAATACTTGTACAGTAAGTGTAGGGATACCAATAAAAGTACTGATGAAGGGGTCGCCTGGGTGGCTCAGTTGGTTAAGCGACTGCCTTCAGCTCAGGTCATGATCCTGGAGTCCCAGGATCAAGTCCCGCATCGGGCTCCCTGCTCAGCAGGGAGTCTGCTTCTCCCTCTGACCCTCCCCCCTCTCATGCTCTCTCTCTCTCATTCTCTCTCTCAAATAAATAAGTAAATAAATATTTAAAAAAAAAAAAGAAGTACTGATGAAGAAAGAAAAGAGAGTAAGGAAACATAATAGTAACCAAAATCAGACTACAGTATGTAAGTAGTAATATATTAATAAATAAATGTTTCCATTTGATCAAATGTGAGTGGGTAATTTAAAAAAAATTGTTGAACATTAGGTTTCTAGGGACACCTGGGTGGCTCAGTCTGCCTTAAGCTCAGGTCATGATCCCAGGGTCCTGGGATCGAGCCCCACATCGGGCTGCCTGCTCAGCGGGGAGCCTGCTTCTCTCTCTCTCCCTCTGTTGCTCCCCTTGCTTGTGATCATGCTCTCTCTCTCTATCAAATAAATAAATAAATAAATCTTTAAAAAAAACCCTCACATTAGGTTTCTAGGCCTCCATACTTGAATAATCAGTTTCAGTATTTGTGGGTGGAGTCCAAGAATCTCTCCCCTTTGTCCAAGTTCAGCCCCCCCCCCCCCCCAAGCTCCCATCCTGTGTGCACTGTAGTCCCTAAACATGCTTCCTCTGGACAATTACTCTCCTGCAGAGCATCACCTTAATCTAATGCCCACTCATCTCCCCGGAAACCCACAGCCCTAGCCCATGAGGGTTGTCTTATCCCCAGATTGATCCCCTTCCCACAGCATTTCCTTCCTGAGGCTCAGTTACTCAGTGTGGAAAACCACTGCTAGAGAGAAAGGGCTGCCCAGTCAGGCGTGGGGGAGAGATGGGGGGGTTCTTTGCTGTCCAGGTTCCATATAAGAGGCTAGGGCTTGAGCGGGTTCAGTCTCCTTTCAAATTTCCCCCTTGGTAGGAATCCTCATTAGCATGCCCCTTATTGTTCTGATAATCCAGAACATTACTGTTGGAACAAACACGTTTCCACAACATAATCCCACCTCAGTGATTGAATTGCCTAACCCCATAAGGACCTTCCTCCCATAGGAACCTCTTCCTGTTCCTATAATTTGCAAGGCTGCCTCTTTTCACATTACTAGATGGAGCATCCTTCCTTTGTACTCTCTCTCTCAGATTGGTTCTACAGGCCTAACAGGAATAAGAAAACAGATTCATTGCTGAGTCATGTTTACAGGGTTTTATAAGATAAACTGAGGCATATTAAATTTTTTTATGAGTTTATTTGAGCAAAAATTGATTCCAACAGGGAAGTGCCAAACCGGAAATGGTTAGGTGCACTCTGCCAACAAGAGCCAGAGGAAGACTTGGTGTAGAGAAGGTGTGCGAGCAGAGAAAGGACATTATTTGATTGGCTGTAGCTTCAAGCCTAGTTGGCTGTTTGTGATTGGCTGTCCTTAAGTTTTGATTTCTTAACCTTGAGGCATTTACAGGCTTAGATTTTGTTCGTTTGCAGATCCACCAGGCCTTAGAGCCACCTCTAAGATTAGATCTCCTGTTATTTAATTAATTTAACAAAGGCTAGAATTCAGCCCATTGAATTCTAGAGCAGAGGTGTGAGGGTGATTGTTAAATGCCTTTTAAGAGACTGGACAAGTCATTTGAGTTTCTGCCTTTGGCTCAGGTCATTATCCCAGCATCCTGGGATTGAGCCCCATGTCGGGCTCTCTGCTCTGTGGGGAGCCTGCCGCTCCCCCTGCTTGTGCTCTCTCTCTCTCATTCTCTCTGTCAAATAAATAAATTAAAAAATATATATATACTGGCCAGATGTCTGAACTTCACTTATTACATGGATGGCCTTCCTTCTCCTCGTCAATGGAACAGCAGGTGGGAATGAGAAGAGTGGTTTGCTCTTCTAGATTCACTGACCAGAAAAAAAAAGGAGTAAAAAGATCAAAATACTAAAAACAGAATGATTCCTATTTTCTGTAAAAATTGAATAAAGTATTGTTTTTTGTTTTTAAAGATTTTATTTATTTATTTGAGAGAGAGAGAATGAGAGAGAGCACATAGAGAGGGGGGAGGGTCAGAGGGCAAAGCAGACTCCCCGCCGAGCAGGGAGCCCGATGCGGGACTTGATCCCGGGACTCCAGGATCGTGACCTGAGCCGAAGGCAGTCGCTTAACCAACTGAGCCACCCAGGCGCCCGAATAAAGTATTGTTGTTGGCTCTCTATGCATGGATATTTTTTCTTTCGTTCTATTCTTGTTTTTTTTTTGTTTTTGCTGCTTACACAGACAGTGAAAAGAAAAAGCAATTAATGAAATGCTTTGGAAACCCCAGCTGCTAAAACAGAATCTGGGAGGACTGAAATAAGAGGGAGTAAGCTTATGGCCCAAGGTCAAGGATGCTCTGGCCAAGTCTTCAAATGCAGAACTTCACCTGAGGCTTTGTGTTCTGGTTGAGCATTCTGGGCCTTCCTGGCTTTGTGTTACAAATAGTCTTTTTTTTTTTTTTTTTAAAGATTTTGTTTATTTATTTGAGAGAGAGAGAGAATGAGAGAGAGCACATAGAGAGGGGGGAGGGTCAGAGGGAGAAGCAGACTCCCTGCCAAGCAGGGAGCCCGATGTGGGACTCGATCCCGGG